TATCTAAAGAATAGAAACAAATTTGTAAAAGCCGTGCCTTCTGTGGATCAGACAGGCATGGGAAATCAGTATAGCAGAGGCTTGATACGTAGTTTCGTAAATAGTGTAGACTTTCATTTGTTTAAAGATTAAGATGAGACCATAACATGGGGACAAAACTATTGATTATTTCCAAAATATCTCATTTTCTTAAACGAAACCAATTAACATAACTAAATTTTATTTAAAAAACAAAGTTTGCACAATTTAAAACAAAAATTAACAGACTCATTCCTGGTCAAAGATGACGAAACACGCCAGTTTATTTTGCATCTTTTCTTGGAAGAGGCCTTAGTCCTTCTCTTCGCTTTCATTTGGATTCTGTGGTTGGGGGAGGTGGGAAAGCACCTCGTCCCTCTCCTCTCTTGCTCTTTGATTCTGTAGTTGGGGGTGGTGGGAAAGGACCACGTCCCTCTCCTCTCTTGCTTTTTGATTCTGTGGTTGGGGGAGGTGGACCACGTCCCTCACCTCTCTTGCTCTTTGATTCTGTGGTTGGGGGAGGTGGGAAAGGTCTGCGTCCCTCTCCTCTCTTGCTTTTTGATTCTGTGGTTGGGGGAGGTGGACCACGTCCCTCTCCTCTCTTGCTCTTTGATTCTGTGGTTGGGGGAGGTGGGAAAGGACCGCGTCCCTCTCCTCTCTTGCTTTTTGATTCTGTGGTTGGGGGAGGTGGACCACGTCCCTCTCCTCTCTTGCTTTTTGATTCTGTGGTTGGGGGAGGTGGGAAAGGACCGCGTCCCTCTCCTCTCTTGCTTTTTGATTCTGTGGTTGGGGGAGGTGGGAAAGGTCTGCGTCCCTCTCCTCTCTTGCTCTTTGATTCTGTGGTTGGGGGAGGTGGACCACGTCCCTCTCCTCTCTTGCTTTTTGATTCTGTGGTTGGGGGAGGTGGACCACGTCCCTCTCCTCTCTTGCTCTTTGATTCTGTGGTTGGGGGAGGTGGGAAAGGACCGCGTTCCTCTCCTCTCTTGCTCTTTGATTCTGTGGTTGGGGGAGGTGGGAAAGGACCGCGTCCCTCTCCTCTCTTGCTTTTTGATTCTGTGGTTGGGGGAGGTGGACCACGTCCCTCTCCTCTCTTGCTTTTTGATTCTGTGGTTGGGGGAGGTGGACCACGTCCTTCACCTCTCTTGCTCTTTGATTCTGTGGTTGGGGGAGGTGGACCACGTCCCTCTCCTCTCTTGCTTTTTGATTCTGTGGTTGGGGGAGGTGGACCACGTCCCTCTCCTCTCTTGCTCTTTGATTCTGTGGTTGGGGGAGGTGGGAAAGGACCGCGTTCCTCTCCTCTCTTGCTCTTTGATTCTGTGGTTGGGGGAGGTGGGAAAGGACCGCGTCCCTCTCCTCTCTTGCTTTTTGATTCTGTGGTTGGGGGAGGTGGACCACGTCCCTCTCCTCTCTTGCTTTTTGATTCTGTGGTTGGGGGAGGTGGACCACGTCCTTCACCTCTCTTGCTCTTTGATTCTGTGGTTGGGGGAGGTGGACCACGTCCCTCTCCTCTCTTGCTTTTTGATTCTGTGGTTGGGGGAGGTGGACCACGTCCCTCTCCTCTCTTGCTCTTTGATTCTGTGGTTGGGGGAGGTGGGAAAGGACCGCGTTCCTCTCCTCTCTTGCTCTTTGATTCTGTGGTTGGGGGAGGTGGGAAAGGACCGCGTCCCTCTCCTCTCTTGCTTTTTGATTCTGTGGTTGGGGGAGGTGGACCACGTCCCTCTCCTCTCTTGCTTTTTGATTCTGTGGTTGGGGGAGGTGGACCACGTCCTTCACCTCTCTTGCTCTTTGATTCTGTGGTTGGGGGAGGTGGGAAAGGTCTGCGTCCCTCTCCTCTCTTGCTTTTTGATTCTGTGGTTGGGGGAGGTGGACCACGTCCCTCTCCTCTCTTGCTCTTTGATTCTGTGGTTGGGGGAGGTGGGAAAGGACCGCGTCCCTCTCCTCTCTTGCTCTTTGATTCTGTGGTTGGGGGAGGTGGGAAAGGACCGCGTCCCTCTCCTCTCTTGCTTTTTGATTCTGTGGTTGGGGGAGGTGGACCACGTCCCTCGCCTCTCTTGCTCTTTGATTCTGTGGTTGGGGGAGGCGGGAAAGGACCACGTCCCTCTCCTCTCTTGCTCTTTGATTCTGTTGTTGGGGGAGGTGGGAAAGGACCACGTCCCTCTCCTCTCTTGCTTTTTGATTCTGTGGTTGGGGGAGGTGGACCACGTCCCTCTCCTCTCTTGCTTTTTGATTCTGTGGTTGGGGGAGGTGGGAAAGGTCTGCGTCCCTCTCCTCTCTTGCTTTTTGATTCTGTGGTTGGGGGAGGTGGACCACGTCCCTCTCCTCTCTTGCTCTTTGATTCTGTGGTTGGGGGAGGTGGGAAAGGACCGCGTCCCTCTCCTCTCTTGCTCTTTGATTCTGTGGTTGGGGGAGGTGGGAAGGCACCCCTTCCTTCTCCTCGCTTTTCATTTTCTTCTCTCTTTTCTGTATTAAAATAATGTGGCATTTTTACTTGCGTACCAATTCTAAATTTTAATCTATGCAGTTTTTCATTTAAAGCAATATTTGGTACAGCAAGTGAATATTTCTGTGAAAAATATTTAAATATACATTAATGTTGTTTTTACAGTGGTTCAGATATAGTCGTACCTATTTTTTCCAGGCTTCTGATCAGCTTTTCCAAATCAATTTCGTCATCATTCTGCGCTCGTTTAATCTTCAATAAAAAAAACCCCAATAATATTATATGCATTTTCCAGTATATTAATTATATATTATTTATTTATTTATTACTTATTGAGTGTCATGACAGTAAAAGATGACCGCATAGACAATTGTACTATTATACTATTATGTTTATAATCCTGATTCATTTTTAAGATAAAAAGTCGAAATTAAAAATGGTATGCATAAAAGTGGATTATGTTGTAATATTTCTACTTCCATTTTATGGCTGTTTTTCTGATAAACTTCTAATATGATATTAATGTAATATACCTTCACAAGTAATTGGAAAATCAATTATTTCGCTTACTAGTATTTTGGATAAGTTGTAAGTAATATACTTCAAGTAAATATTTCTAATAGCATAGTTTACAGGTGTGGATCCACGAGGAGAGGGGGGTCAACCTCAGTCAAAAAAAAATTTCAACCCAGAAATTTCTTGACAAGGAAAGAGTCAAAACTGCTTTCAAAAACGTATCCAACCCAAGAAATTTCTTTTCAGGGGTCCACGTTTTCGGGGGGTGGGGTGTCCAAAGTCATTTTTTATTTGCTTCCGTATTTACATTTAATAACACTGCAAATTCCAGTGGGGGGGGGGGGGGGTCGTGACCCCCCCCCCCCAAATCCGTGCCGTGCATGCTTTATAACATTCCAAAAAAGTCTAATTCGTGAACATATTAAATCTACTTAATTAAGATTTGCGAACGAGACACCTAGCTTTTACTTTTACATTGTGAAGAGGTTCGGATTGGATGAAAGAATCAAGTGAGTTTACACAATACCATTGAAAAATTATTTAATGACGAATGAATTTGGCAGTTATACAACGTGGTGCATATATAATTTTTTGTCTTAAAAGTGCCAGTTTGAATTATTTTTAGATGTAAATGTGTACATATCGTATGAATTAGCAAAGTATCAAAAGATCAATGAGTGAATAAATAATACATATCTTCTAATTTTCTTTTGATATACTTATCGTTTTGAATATTTATAAAAGAACATGTTTAATTGGAGGGAGTGAGGAGGGGGGTTTGAAAGGGTTGAAAAATTGTTTTCAAGAATTAAATCATTTATTAAAATGTCTGTAATTTAAAAAAAAAAAAAAAAACTAAAACGCATACAAGAAAGTAGCACTTCTTAGATAAGTATTATAGATATTGCAGTTGAATAGATATGAGCAAAGAAATTACCTACGAAATGTTTTTATAACCTCTCTACCTCTCTCTCTCTCTCTCTCTCTCTCTCTCTCTCTCTCTCTCTCTCTCTCAAAATCTAGCCTGTTTTGCATCTGATAGAATTCAGCTCACTCATATACTTAATGACAGATACATGTAAAAAAAATAAATAAATTTGAGATAGTTTCGTCTCTTTCTCCATTTGGACAATTTGACAGCCTCTCCCAATAAAACTCCACATGTTAACTAGTTAATATATATCCTCTATTATGAAAATATTAATATACTGTCTACAATTTTTATTGTCTGTTTTGTGGTAATCATATTTTATGAGCAAGTTGAATAGTTATAAAGGGTCAGCAATCCGAGAACGGTATTCGGACATGACCCTGAAAACAAAATAAATGAATAAATAAATAAAATTTGTTTAATGCCATTTCACATTGAAGCGATATACAAGTGGCCAGAAAACAAAAAGTGTATATCAAAAAATAATGTGGAAATGAACAAAATTGAAAAAAAAAACAAACAAACAAGAAGCCCATGGGCCACATCGCTCACCTGAGCACATTGGCTAGGCAAAGGCACAAATCAGTTCAGTATTGAAAAGATTAACGGGGGGGGGGGGGGCTTGAATTTTAAACTACCTGATGATGCTTCCATGTCAATATAACAAATGGCTTTGTTGTACTTAAGAAAATTTTAAAAGAATTTTCCCATATGATCCTTTGTAAAACTTTCGATCCCCCATTGGGCCCCACCCTACCCCCGGGGGTCATCATTTGAACAAAATTGAATCTACACTACCTGAGGATGCTTCCATATCAAAATGACTAAACATTATTTTCTGTTCTTGAGAAGAAGATATTTTCCTATATGTTCCTATGTAAAATTTTCGATCCCCTATTGTTGCCTGACCCTATTCCTGGGGGTCATCATTTTAACAAACTTGAATCAACACTACCTTAGGAAGCTTCCATATCAAAATGACTAAACATGGCTTTGCTGTTCCTGAGAAGAAGGTATTTTCCTATAAATTTCTATTTAAGACTTTGATCGTCCATTGTGGCCCCACCCTACCCCCGGGGATCATGATTTGAACAAAATAGAATCTACACTACCTGAAAATGCTTCAACATAAATATGACCCATCATGGCTTTGCTGTTCTTGAGAAGAAAAATTTTAAAATTTTTCCTACCAGGGGTATATATTTCTATGTAAAACTTTGATTCTCCATTGTGGCCCCGCCCTACCCCCGGGGGTCATGATTTGAAAAAACTTGAATCTACACTACCTGAGGATGTTTCCATATAAATATGACTCATCATGGCTTTGCTGTTCTTGAGAAGAAGATTTTTAAAGATTTTCCTATATATTTCAATGTAAAACTTTGATTCTCCATTGTGGCTACGCCCTACCCCTGGGGGTCATGATTTGAGCAAATTTGAATCTACACTACCTGAGGATGCTTCCATATAAATATAACTCATCATGGCTTTGCTGTTCTTAAGAAGAAGATTTTCAAAGAATTTTCTCCTATATATTTCTATGTAAAAATTTTATCCTCCATTGTGGCCCCGCCCTACGCCCGGGGGTCATCATTTGAACAAACTTGAATCTACACTACCTGAGGATGCTTCCAAATAAATATGACCCATCATGGCTTTGCTGTTCTTGAGAAGAAAAATTTTAAAATTTTTCCTACCAGGGGTATATATTTCTATGTAAAACTTTGATTCTCCATTGTGGCCCCGCCCTACCCCCGGGGGTCATGATTTGAAAAAACTTGAATCTACACTACCTGAGGATGTTTCCATATAAATATGACTCATCATGGCTTTGCTGTTCTTGAGAAGAAGATTTTTAAAGATTTTCCTATATATTTCAATGTAAAACTTTGATTCTCCATTGTGGCTACGCCCTACCCCTGGGGGTCATGATTTGAGCAAATTTGAATCTACACTACCTGAGGATGCTTCCATATAAATATAACTCATCATGGCTTTGCTGTTCTTAAGAAGAAGATTTTCAAAGAATTTTCTCCTATATATTTCTATGTAAAAATTTTATCCTCCATTGTGGCCCCGCCCTACGCCCGGGGGTCATCATTTGAAAAAACTTGAATCTACACTACCTGAGGATGTTTCCATATAAATATGACTCATCATGGCTTTGCTGTTCTTGAGAAGAAGATTTTTAAAGATTTTCCTATATATTTCAATGTAAAACTTTGATTCTCCATTGTGGCTACGCCCTACCCCTGGGGGTCATGATTTGAGCAAATTTGAATCTACACTACCTGAGGATGCTTCCATATAAATATGAGCAATCAGGGCTAAGCTGTTCTTAAGAAGAAGATTTTCAAAGAATTTTCTCCTATATATTTCTATGTAAAAATTTTATCCTCCATTGTGGCCCCGCCCTACGCCCGGGGGTCATCATTTGAACAAACTTGAATCTACACTACCTGAGGATGCTTCCAAATAAATATGACCCATCATGGCTTTGCTGTTCTTGAGAAGAAAAATTTTAAAATTTTTCCTACCAGGGGTATATATTTCTATGTAAAACTTTGATTCTCCATTGTGGCCCCGCCCTACCCCCGGGGGTCATGATTTGAAAAAACTTGAATCTACACTACCTGAGGATGTTTCCATATAAATATGACTCATCATGGCTTTGCTGTTCTTGAGAAGAAGATTTTTAAAGATTTTCCTATATATTTCAATGTAAAACTTTGATTCTCCATTGTGGCTACGCCCTACCCCTGGGGGTCATGATTTGAGCAAATTTGAATCTACACTACCTGAGGATGCTTCCATATAAATATAACTCATCATGGCTTTGCTGTTCTTAAGAAGAAGATTTTCAAAGAATTTTCTCCTATATATTTCTATGTAAAAATTTTATCCTCCATTGTGGCCCCGCCCTACGCCCGGGGGTCATCATTTGAACAAACTTGAATCTACACTACCTGAGGATGCTTCCAAATAAATATGACCCATCATGGCTTTGCTGTTCTTAAGAAAAAGATTTTCAAAGAATTTTCCTATATATTTCTATGTAAAACTTTGATCCTCCATTGTGGCCTCGCCCTACGCCCGGGGGTCATGATTTGAACAAACTTGAATCTACACTACCTGGGGATGCTTCCGTATGAGTTTTCATCTTTCCTGGCCCTGTGGTTCTTGAGAAGAAGATTTTTAAAAGATGCTATTAATTTTTCACTAATTCTTAATTATCTCCCTTTGAAGGAGGGCGTGGCCCTTCATTTGAAAAAACTTGAATCCCCTTCACCCAAGGATACTTTGTGGCAAGTTTGGTTGAAATTGGCCCAGATGTTCTGAAGAAGAAGTCGAAAATGTGAAAAATTTACAGACAGGCGAACAGACGGACTACAGACAAAATGTGATCAGAAAAGCTCACTTGAGCTTTCAGCTCAGGTGAGCTAAAAACTGTTGGATTTTAATTTTGCTTTATGTGAGTTAGAATGATGTATATGGCATTAAAATCGGAGAACTACAATATCATACAAAGGGAGGGGGATAGACTGAGGTGTTAAAATTCGCTACATTCGAGCTTTTTATGAAAGTTCAATAAATA